ACATGTTGTCCAATAATGCATTTATCCAAGCTAGCGTCGAGATACGCAACATATGGGAACTTTAATCAAGCGGAACACGACCAACTTCCGCCAAACGGTCAGCTTTCGCTAAAACCCATGAAGAGGAAAGAGGGGATAGGTGAAAGCATTCGAATGACCGATAAATATTCAGATCTCGCAGGTATAAGTCCAGAAGACGATTGTGGATACTTATAATCGAATCGTCGTGAAGTAATTTGGTTTGGAATCTTTTAATTTTCATTTCTTGTTAATAATTTTTTTATTTTCATCTCGTTTTAGTAGTTCATTTTGTTTTTGGTTTTTGTTTGTATTTTATTTCATTGTAATTTCAGTTTTTTTTGCATAATATAATTGTTATTTTTCAGCTAATCTTTTTAAATTCTTCACAGATTCTTTCAGGGATTTCAAATCATTTTATATCATATCAGACAATGGAAGCCCGAACTGATGAAATGCACCACGAAACATTGTCAACCACCTTCGAACAAATGAAATCAACTTCTTCCAACACTAACAGTTGTTGAACTTGTCTAAAAGATATTCTGTTGAATCACAAAATTCAATTCCTGTATATGATATCATAAGAAATTATGTTCAGAAGTATCAATACTTAGGTATTCCCCGGTTACTTGCATCCACTCTCCAAAACAGTTTCACAAAATGTATTTGTCCCCTTCATCTGTCAAGAGTGAAACTTTGCGACATCACAATCAATGGCTGATACTATTGAGAATATTTTATAACTCATCGAGATAAAAACGTTTTTAAATTTTGCTCAATTCGGGGTATAGGCTTAGCAGAGACGTTATAATAAATATGGACTAGACATTGAAGAGAAAACTTTGACTGAAACAACTCAAAAAAGATAAGAAATTCACGTTGTGGCATTTACGTAACCCATACACTTAACGTCAGATACAACGTCACGATGTTTTACGTGTTGCATATTTCCATGTGGAATTTTTTTTATTTGATTTGTCAGATGATGCTGTGACGTAGTGGCCAAGACGTGTGATATGTAAAAGTCCACCCAGTTCATGTCTATTAGGCTTTATGAAACAATATGCAATTCTTACTATTTTTCATGCACAAGTTTATATGAACTTGTTCTTTTTTTCAGATTTATATCTATTTTATGAACAGAGACGATAACGAAGAAACCTTGTCCCATTTATAAACACATTACCAAATACATTGCGCATTTCTAGGAAAACTATGATTGCTCTAATTTTTTCGATACTGTTGCAAGTTGTTATCTCATTAGACTTGGACCCTGATATCATATTTGATGAAGTTTAATATTTACCAATGAAATTGAAAACATATTGTTTTTCGTTTTACATCGAATTTTAAACAGTGAGAACGGTACGATATCTTGTTTTCAACGTCTAACGATGTTTTATTAAAAATAACTGAGTAGAGATAAGGGTGTCTCAAGTTGGTGACTACACCTTTATCCCGTTATTGGTTTCACCAGTTGAAATCTAAAATCTTTTATGCATGTTTTAGATCATCGAGGGTATTCTATACTTTCAAAAATCATCTTTCAATTTTTAGATCATACTTTCGATTCAAAACTTATTTGTGAGAAAATTATAATTTTAAATACTAACTTAGCAATCTGTATGGACAAATAAATTGTGATTGTGTTGGAAAAATACGGTATACGGTAAACATGGTTTGTTTGAAAGTGGTTGACAATGGTTGGTAATTAATTTCATTAGTTCAGAATCCCATTGTCTAACATGACTCAAAATCTATGAAAAAACAAATGAAATTAAAATTAATATATGAAATATCAAATATATTAAGCAATGAAACGTGATATGAAAATACAATAAATCTAATAAAATAATCAAAATACAAAATGAATGAGACTACTAACTAAAAAAAAAATAATAAATGAGGATACAAATAAGGAAAAAAAAAATAAAATAAATTGTTACTTCACGACTTTTCGATTGTTAGTATCCACAATCGCCTTTGGGTGATCACTGGACCTGATGTCGTACTTGGACCTAATTGTTCTTATCCTTTCCGACAATCCTCTGAGGTAGAGAAGTACAGGCACTGATTGTGACGACTTCTCATTCTTTGATCGTATTAGAGCCCGAAAGTACGATCCATTAGAGTCTTGATGATTCCTCTTTTGGTAAATCTGAATCTTTTGATTCAGAAGCTACTGGAAAATAGTTTCATGAAAATCAAAAGATAAATAGATGAGTACTTTTCTGATCATTCTCAATTTGATTTTAAGAGCCACCGCTAGACAGCTTTCTTGGTATATACAGACCGTTTCTTTTATCGTGTGGTAACATTGCTGTATTCTAAACCGTAACAGATACGAAGACGACTAAATGGGAAAAAAGGGAACTGTCATCAGGAACGATACAATTGCCGAAGAAAATTTACGGGGACCCTCGCCCTTCTCGAGTTATACGGGGAAAACCAAAAATGCTGTTTTTGGTTTTTTTTTTTTCGAATGGAATTGTTATCTCGAAGAATATCAGAAAATGGAAAAGAAAAATGTTATTGTATTCGAAGTGTACTACGACGATGAAATAATAAATATTCAATAAATCGTTTCGTGTCAACATGGTCACCATCAACTTTTTTTTTAAATACGGACCTGTCTTTTTTTATTACAGATATTGATGGAGCAAAACATTCTCAATCCAAAGGTATATCACATTTGATATTTTGACAGCGTTTCATTTGAAATAACTACCATCATCAGTGTCAATTTTTGTATTGCCGTAATTCTTCTTTCAAGGCTTATTACTCCGTAATCAATTATAATTTGTAATATTTTTATAATTCTCAATCCTGGAAGTAACGAAAATATCAGTTTTTGGTCAAAATTCGATTATTATATAATTTGGCATGATCAAATAGCATCTCAATTCATTTACCATTTCAAACGCGTAGGCTTTGCTTGGTTTCTATGGCAGGAAAAATGAATGCGTTGTTGATGATGTTATGAACATATCAAAGATGTATTCAAATGATAAAAGAACTGATATGCTATTATAGTTATGCAAAATCAAACAAAAATCCTCTATTGGCAAGGAATATGTATGTGTTCAAAGGCTTATTTAATAAAATTTCTGGGAAAACTTCATATTCAATGGTTAGATATTTCTTTATTTATAACATGCCTATAATAAAGGAGAAATAAAAATATTAAAATGGTAATAATTTACAAATGAAAAATTGTCAAAAAATCAGCAAAAAATCAATCATCATACAAAATATACTTTTATAGTCTTTAGTGCGAAACTTGTTGATGTTTGCCTGTGATTAAAATTTCAACATTAGGAGTAATGGAACTCATCTTCACTCTTAAGTTCTCTTCAACACTTATTCTGCTTCTATTTTTTTATGCACAAGAATTCAGAAAATCCACTCTCACACAAGTAACTGGTAACAAATGGCATCAAAAATAGCAGAGCTTGCCGGAAGAGCAAAAGGTACTTGGTTTTACATCCGATCCAGAAATTAGTTAAAGATTTCTCTTCGAAATAATATTTCTTGTAAAATCTTGCAATTAGATAGAAATAGCGATATTACCAAATTATATGCATTTACACCTCTAACAATTATGAAGTATAAGTTAGCCACAAGGCAACGTGATATCTTAGCAATAAGCAATCATAAACAAAATAGCATTAAACTTGCGTGCTCCTCGAAGAATATGGCACACGCCAATTCGGTCCGTCTCTCTGTAGCGCTCTGTAGATTGGTAGTTTTGGAACGCCCTCTATATTCCACGGAAGAGTGATAGTCCCTTTTAATATCCGCCTTGTACATAGCCTCTCAATGTGTTCAGAATTCCAGGGATTATTGGACTCCAAAGACCAATAGGAGAAAATGAAAAAAACCCTGTCAGAAGGGGAAGTTCAAATTAGAAAACTCTAAAAAACTGAAAAATCAAATCCCTCTTTTGACTAACCCAGTAAAAGCAAATAAAAGTACAAACCCCCAATGAAACAATGAAAGACAAAAAAATGTTTTATTCACTACGAAACATATAGTCACTCCCTGTATAATTGAATAAAGGAAATGATAATCAAAAATCCTTACTAATTGAGACAAACAGAAAAAAAATTAAAGTTTTGTGAATTGGTTTCCAAATGTACAAATAAATTCGAGATCTGGCAACGTTTTAAAATTTATTTCGAACAACTAAAAACTTATTTCAACAGCTGGTCTGATTTCAGCATTTCCATAAACAATCACTCGAAATAATCATAAAAGAAAAAATATACATTAACTTACCCTGGCCGAAAGGGGTTTTCACAAACTGTGATTTCCACTTGAAAAGCTGGTTACTTAGATGGTGGACATACGTTAAGTGATATTCGGCCTAATCGCATCTGACAATAAGAAAAAGATTTGGTGAATACCAAAAATACAAATAAATCAAATAAATTCGTTTAAACAGAACTTAGACGCATGAAGATGCACTCGAACATAAAAAATTCATACACATACCTGATAAATGATTCCGATGGAAATGCTTTCACTTTCAAGGTTAGGTGAGATTCTTTAAAAATCCTCTAACAAGTATAGCCGTGGTTATATAACAAAAATACGCCAAATCTTAACACCAGTATAACCTCAGCTTGAAAATTCGTCTCGTAAAATGTAACCCAATGAAGGATGATTGAAACATCATGTAAATTTCGAGTCAACGAATACTAACACCTTTCTTTACTCGATCAACACAGAAAAACGACAAATGACAGTCTCGAACGAAACGACCTTCCTGTCAGTTGAAACAGAAGAGCCCCCTACTATGAGTCATTGACCTTCGGCGGAATACTCTATCTGTTTCGTGAAAACAACTGAACATTACATGACAAATATTATATACAACCCATTCAAAATATACAAAATTTACAATATATATATATTTATTGTCTCAAACAACTCTCGTGCAAGGTGTTCCCTAACCGAACACGATTCTGAAGAATTTCGGCTTGGATAGTTGGCAACATAGACGAGCTAAATACCGATGAAATGTTTCTAACCTACCATTCAGGCAAGATGTACACAAATCAATAAAACAAATTTGTTAGATCTTTCAATTAATAATTAATCGAATCGTGGACGACAAGAAGAAGTAAGCTATTGCAACTGACGAATGAAGAAGGTAAGCATGCATACTTATAATTTTGAAAATTATTCAGATAATCTGTTTGAGTATATTTTTAATGATTCGCATTCTCTTTCAGCTTTAATTCGATCCGATGGTCATTATTTCATCAGGTGCCCAAGAAATATTCACTCAGAGCCGTTTTTAACGTTTACTTAAGGAAGAGGAGTCAATATACGGAGTATTGTTACAAGTATTTATATCACGATATAACCAGAGGAACATATTATAGAGCTGTTGGAGATGATATTCTGAAGTTGCCAAACTCTCTGCAAGGCTAAAACAAATTATCGCATTCTTGACATGATTCAAACCACCTACAATAATTGAGGAATGATAAGGAAGTACAAACATATCTTGTAGAGATTTAACGAATATTACGATGCAAATTGACCTGTTTTTAGGTGTTCCTTTAGGCAGTACCAAAATACCAGACTCATTCTCAAGATGCAGGGTTTTCTATTAGAATATGTTCTCTAGATAATCTTTGTAATAGTTTATGTTGAATTGGTAAATGAGTGAAAGAATTATAGTAAGGTTGCGTTTTATTACTGATATACTTGAGGTTCAAAATGAACGTAACAGCGTTAAAGAAAAAAACATGGTTGCCAACGTAATAGAAAAAAAACTTGGCTGCTATACAGGGTGTCTCATCGTTTAGGAAAAAAACATGTACAGGGTGTCTCAAAATACATCGGCGTGAAAAATATTGGTATAATAATAATAATGAATTAGGACGTTGAAAGAAAGACTTCAAATATTTCAGTTTGAATGGCACCTACAAGTGGTTGAATATCTTGCCTGAAATCACAAAATCCTTCAATGATACGCGACACTCAAAGACGGGCATACACCCCTAGAAAATCAACGAAACCAACGAAAAACAAATTCTCAAATCGATATACACCCATCTGAAAATAGCTGGACCGAGAAAATTCAAAGTCGGCGATGTTGTGCGTATCAGTAAGGCAAAACACGTTTTCGACAAGGGTTACACACCCAATTGGACTACGGAATTATTCAAAATTATCAAGGTCAACATTACAAATCCCGCCACCTTTATGCTAGAAGATATGCAGGATGCACCTATTAGGTGTGCTTTCTATGGGGAAGAGTTACAAAAAACTGCAAATCCTGATATAGGTATATCTCGTGGAAAAAGTGCTGAAGAGGAAAAGTAAAAAACTTTACGTCAAATGGTTGGGCTTGGATAACAAACATAACAGTTGGATTGTAAACGTTGATTTTGTTTAGAATCTTATGGAAAACAAGTACACTCACATTGTATCGAAAGGGGGGCCTTTTGTGAAGAAATATTCGCAAACACAAAATATTTGAAATTGATCATGTGATCTGAAGCTATAAGAGTCCATGCAAACACCGATGGATATTCAGTTTGAACAAAATGTCTCTCGACAGTGGTTATGGTAGTGAAGTTGGAGTAATGTGTGACAGTGATTGTGAAGATTACAATGAAACTCTAAGTACAATCGATAGAGCGTTGGGACAGTACGAAATAGCTGCACTTTAGTCCATGCATCATATTGAAGCAACAATTCTCCGTTCTTTCCATCAAGGAAAATTTCTTTGATTCACAAATCGATGACTATGTATACGAATATGATCCAATTATAACACGTTGCGGGGATTACATTTACGTCACACAGTACATCGAAAGTAATACCAAACAAGTTTCCATTTCCAAGGATACCACGAACATGGAGCTATTTCAACAAGATGTAAACGATTTCCTAAACACCCATATGGGGGTACTGTTTGATCGTATCGCTATGCTAGATGTCATAAACTTTTGTGACTATTATCGAGGTGTTTTCAAAATTATTCAATCATGGTTGCGTGAAAATAAAACCAATTTGACTTTAGAAGAAATTATCGAAGGTTTTTGTCAAGCCTCATCTTTAGATAGTATGTTGGCTAATGCTTTACGTGAATATTCATTTTATTATAAACAAAAACTAGTGCATGATTTATGTAATAAATGAAAAGAATAATATTTACCTTATTTTCGCTCAACAAGCTTGCCCTGGTGGTTCACCTCAATTGTAAACATAATCACATTTTCTAAGAAAATACTTTATATTGTACGAAAATATTTTAATAAAACACAGAAAATGATTTTGTTTTTTTTTATTATTTATTCAAAATACCCTCCTTAAAATACAACATTAAAAAACTATACATATTTGAATTATGAAAATGATACAATAAAAAACTACATATATTTGAATTATAAAAATGATACAATAAAAAACTACATATAATGGATTATTGAAATACAGTAAAAAATGGTGTTTTCTGGTTGTAGATTATCGCATATTGATAACGCTTGAGAAATTTCATTCTAATATATTATGTTTGACATAATTTTGAATTACTTTTTCTGTCAATTGTAGAAGTAATGGTGGAAATGCAAAGTTGTGCATGTACAATAATAAATATTATGCAAAAACTGAAATACTCAAAAAAATGTATGTGTACCAAAATTTTACCAACCAGGATCGGTAAAATGGTGATTTTTTCTCATTTGTTTCTTCAATTTTCTGATACAATTTACATTGAGTATTTCTTTAAATTCTTTTGGTATATTGAAATAACAATAAACTTAGCATATTTTTACAATACCGAATTTCAATTCCTACTTTTTCATTAGCACGAAATCTATAAATATCTCCAACAGTCCTAAAAATTTCGTTCTCAGCCAATTCTTGCAAAGTTGGTGGACTTCTACCGCTGTTGGAAATTTTCAGAATAATACGTCTATCGAGCATATTCAAACTAGAACAAAAAAAAAATCCAAATGATAACCTTATTCCAAACTATAATGCCCCCAAGGTAATGTATCGAATGATTTGGGGATAAGATGACGTTTGTCGTCATACGGACAAAGGGCTATTTTTGTCTACTCTATACTGAAAACGTTATGAGCAAATGATCTTATTGTGCATTGTGTGATATTCTTTGTTTGAAATTCTTCAAGCAATCTACTTAATCTTCAAAGCTCAATTTATTTTCATCGACACCATATTTCAATCACTTTGCCTTTTTAACAACTTTACCACCCTGCACTTTGTAGGTGTACATTTTTTAACGCAGTCCTGCCAATTGCGTGATGATTTTGCCGTTTGCTTCATCTTTCATGAGTCCGGGTACTTTTTTATTTGCAAGGGGAATGTGATACTCGTTATCTCTCGAATAATCAGAAGTGTCAAATTTTGAAATGTGTTTTTTGATATCTTCGTACCCATCGTCACACGATAGCTCATAAATGAAACTGTCTGTATCTATATACAGTAACTTGCATTTTTCCATGCTCATATTAGGTAACATGAATTCGTAATGAAATTGAAACATACATGTTTTTGACAAATCCAAAATTGCCATGCCCACATACATTGGTTTATTAAATATGAGTTCGGCCTTATAATCGAAAATTATACGATTATGAAATCGAAGGCTGGAAATCTGCCTCGTAAGAGGACACTAATTTCACTATTCGGTGCAACCAGATGTTTTCCATGGTTTTCCCAAAGATTGCGCTGTTGGCTAATTTGAATTGATTTTTTCCGAAAGACGTATTGGTTGCAGTCCTCAATCGAGTATTCAACTCAATATAGGGACGCGGCCATGCAGATTGTTTAAATTTCATTGGTTCGATATTCCCAATTTTTGACTCAACGAATTTTGCAATGCTAGCCATTACATCGGTAAACCATTGTATGCAATCGTCACCTCGATGGCTATTAAATTTGGACAAACAGTCATCATAAGAACATTTCAAGTAGTAGCCTACACTGAACGCTTTATGTTTTTTGAAATGTTCTACATTTGTCCGTAATATTTTCCTTGCAATTTTCGAGGACTGATTCAAAATCAGCCTATAAAACGAAATGACATTTTTGTTTATATATATAATTTCGGAATTCAACATGATCAAAATTTGGAAATGAAATTTTACACTCGTTTATATTCTCATACAAAACAATATGTTCATCCAATTTCTGCTGACTTGAAAAATAATTGATACATCTATCACAGAAAAACTTTCGTGCTTTATATTTACTCATTTGTTCTGAAAATAATCTAGACATATTTTTAATATAGCAATAATGGTATTTGATTTCACAGTCATCTGTATCTTGAGGTAAAGTGTCATACTCATTTAATTTAGGAAAATATACATTTTGAATTAATAGTAAATTTACATGTTTATTCAATTCATTTTTGGTTAATCGTGCAGGTACTACTTCATAAAATGTCTTTTCCTTGACAACATTCATTTCTAAACTATATACATTCACGTTTTGTTTTTCAAATGTTGTGATGTAGCGAATTGGCATAGGAATTTCCAAGCCCTTTATATTTAAAACCGAATCATAATTTGAATATGAAGATGCCCGTGTAATGTTTCCTTTGGGAGGGTACAAACCACTTACGATTGCTCTGAAGAAACACGCATCATCTTGATTATCAAGATTCACACATGCATTCTTGTTTGCAATTTCTTTGGGTAAACGTATGAATGATGCACCGTTGCCCATTTCATATTTATTGATTACTACCTCAAGCAAAATAATTTTACTCAATGCCCTACCAGAGTCTCTTTCCTGAAATTCATCGAGTTCATTCAAAATAACATCCACAACATGTTCATTGTACCAAGCAGAAAAATATGTTCCCAAATCAATGATTTCGTTACGAGTATTGAAATATTTTTATCGATAATTTCCCCGTCATTCAATGTTTTGATGAAATCCCCCAACAATGTCATGTTCACTTTGAGGCATTGCATCTCCTTTAAAATTTTGGAATTCTAGATTTGAAAAGAAAATATGCATCACTCAAAAATTTTCGCACTTTTTCGTGCGCTAAATTTATAATTACACCTGTCCTCACTCTACCTTGGAAAATTGCATTTACATTTTCCCATTTAACTCTACTGCTTCGTTTCAAACCTGATCCAATATACTTATCGTTTTTCATAACATTTTTTAATTTTCTAAGGCGTTTCAATTTTACTAATGATTTTCTTTTTTTCTTCCACTGAAAATTTAATTTTTTTCATTGCCAACTCACATTTTCTAATATACCAACTAATCAAATTCAACGCGACGTTCGTGCAACGAAACTTGAATAATTTTGTTTAATTACTTCAAGCAATTTATTAATTTGCGATAAATTTTTTGAAAACATCATTTTCAACTTACAAAAAAAAGTTTTTCCTGCTACGAATACACAAATGAATGCTTACTTAACGCTGCAAAAGGAAGCTTGAAATACTACTCGGTAGATGGGCTGGAAAAGCTCGAACCGTGGTCAAATGTGGTGAAGCGATGAACGGAGATGATTCTCAAAGGAAAGCTTGATGAAAAATGTTTCTGTTGTACTGAGGGGCGGAGGGTATATAACTATCTGAAAAATGAAGAAGAAACATTAATTTCAAATCACACTCTTACCACTTACAAAGAGAAACAAATAAAGAACAATAATACTAACCTCAGTTTTCTACAATTTCGAAAGATATTTGCAGGATTGGCTTTCCCCGTATTGATCAGCCCTCTGAGCACGATGGCTTACTTTTCTTTTTCGAAATGATTCATGAATCCCTCGAAGGTCTTTGTAACTCTCTGCACTAGGAACGTTATATGCTTCTCCAACTCGAGCAGTACTGTCTTTCCAAATTTCGTCTGCACGGTTCGGGCTGAGAAAATTTTCTGCGGCTCTCCTAGCGGAAGATTTTGTAATTTCTCCACAGGTTTCTTATTTTCTGTGTCTACAAGAGAAAATCCGTTAATTGTGTTTAGATCCATCTACAACAAAAATTGATCAAATTGAAAGGAAATGAAATTTTTCCATATTTCGAATCGAGAGAAAATAAAATTTTTTGTTTGAACACTCGCAATTTTGAATGAAGATTTTAAAAAGTTTTTACGGAAAACGAAATATTTTGGTTTTGAATAAAAAAATGAAATTTTTCGATAACATACACAATTTTGAGCAAAAATTTTGAAGACTTTCTTAAATAATTATGAATATCTTGGAAAACGAAATATTTTGGTTTTGAAATGAAAAATGAAATTTTTCGATTACATCAACACTGTAGTATACACAATTTTGAACAAAAATTTTGAAAACATTTTACGGAAAACGAAATATTTTGGTTTTGAAATGAAAAATGAATTTTCTTTTCGATTACACACACAATTTTGAGCAAAAATTTCGAAAACATTTTACGGAAAACGAGATATTTCGAATTGAGAGAAAATGAAATTTTTCGTTTGTAAAAACACACAGTTTTAAACAAATATTTTGAATACTTTCTGAAATAATTATAAGTACGTACAAACACCTTGGATAACGGAATCTTTCGGTTTTGAAATGAAAAATGGAATTTTTCGATTACACCAACACTGTAGTAAACAATTTTGAACAAAAATTTTAAAAACATTTTACGGAAAACGAAATATTTTGCTTTTAAAATAAAAAATGAAATTTTTCTTTCGATTACACACAATTTTCAGCAAAAATTTTGAAAACATTTTACGGAAAACGAGATATTTCAAATTGAGAGAAAATGAAATTTTTCGTTTACAACAATACACACACAATTTTGACCAAAAGTTTTGAATACTTTCTAAAATAATTATAAGTATATACAAACACCTTGGAAAACGAAATCTTTCGGTTTTGAAATGAAAAATGAAATTTTTCGATTACACCAACACTGTAGTACACAATTTTGAACAAAAATTTTGAAAACATTTTACGGAAAACAAAATCTTTTGGTTTTAAAATGAAAAATGAAATTTTTCGATTACACATTCGCAATTTTGACCAAAAGTTATGAAGACATTCTGAAATAATTATAAATACGTACACACATCTTGGAAAACGAAATATTGGTTTTGAAATAAAATGAAATTTTTCGATTAAGCCAAGACTGTATGTACTACACAATTTTGAACAAAAATTTCGAAAGCTCTTCAGTTAAAATCATTTCACTGAGTTTCGCAAATAAAATACATGATTAGACATTGTTTTCAAGACAAATTTCGTACTTACATCTGTTTATTGAAGATAATGCACACACAAACGCAACAGAAGCACAGTTACAACTGATGAGGCAACCGTTTTTATGCAGATGGCCCCACTAACCGTAGCAAACATCCGCTTCACACTCCCCCATATCCTTGACTCGAAATGTGAAATAAAACGAATATTTGTGAAAATTCAAATATTTATTATTTGAACCAAATTTTATACATTTCATTAAATTTCATAATTATTTCTTGAAAAACTCTAATCAAAATACATGCTAATATCGTGGAGAGAATGAGAATTCTATAAATAGACCAGGCGTACTTTATTTTCTTGAGGAAAAAATTCCTTACAGGGCAAACTCAACGGGAAAAATGACCATTTTTCGAAAGAAATGCTCATTTAAGAAAAACTATTGAACTTAGCCATAGGGAATACTTAATGAAATTTGTAGAGGTTTCGTTGGCGCTTTTATAAATTTTATGTAATATATCATAGTAAACTTTCACTTAAATGAGTTCTTTTTCCACAAAACAAATTAACAGATTAACACTTGTTATTTTATGATGAAACACTCTATAAAACGCTCTGACTGAAAAGACACTCACGTACTGATTTTAACGGTGTTCCGTTCGAAGCACAGCTGTTGCTCCAAAATTTGTAATTCAAACAATAAATACCCCCTCTATGATGCGTTGATCTCTGAACAGGAACTACAAAATTCAAATTAACATTTGTAGGTGAAGAAGAGCGAATTAATACCAACGATAGTTTAATCGTGTACATTAGGGAGTGTACATACATTAACAAGCACAATTTTTCAGTTTTTTTGCATTTTAAACGATTTTTTTGCTTAAAGTAGTATATTTTTATTTTTTCATCTGAAAGCTGATGTAATTCCGAGAAAAATGAGCAGTGTGAAAATTGTCTAAGCCAACGCGAAAAACGCGAATTTCTCAGAAACTAATTAACTTATCGCAAAAAAAAAAGTCTACTTATTTGTGATAAAAAATAGTACAATTGCTTAAATTTTCATAGTGATACGCCTTTTTTTCGTCAAATGAAAAATAAAAAACGAAAAAAGCGGTTTTTTACGTTTTATTCGAAAATTTTGAATGTGAAAAAAGTATGGATACAAAAGTTATACATTTTTTCATCATCTACAACTTTCTCATTCAACTTTTTTCTCTTAAACAATTATTTTGGCCGCAAACCGCGAAAAACCGCTTTTCACCCCACCCCTCCGCCCCTGCAAACATTCAGCTGTTGAATTTTTGCCCCAACATTACTGACTACCTTTCCAACCCATTCCCGTTGGGTTCAGCCTGTAAGGAATTTTTATCTGAAAAATCAGTATTTTTCAACATAGTACGCCTGGCCTAAAAGATCAAATTCCATTTGTGACTTCTTTTTGAGTAGCCTTGCGTGTTCTGGAAGGAATTCGACAGTTTTTGTATCAATTTCTCGAAGATCGTGGAATATCAGCCTCAGTTTATATTTGAAGGAGGTATTTTTCGGGACTTTGCTTGCAAAAACTGCCAATTGTTCGTCATTGACAAATTTTGAACTCATCAATTTCCATTGTGTTCTATTGCATCCATGATCGAAATTATTGGGCTTCACACAAATTGCTATGAATTTAACGCCCTTTGGTACGTTCATATACAAAACTTTATTTATTATTGCAGTTAAAAGCACAAAATTTAATCTCAGCATTGGCGGCGACATAATCTACGCTGTGAGGTTGATTTCTTCGCAGCTGATATCTCGTTTGAGGCACTTTTCGATCGAACACTCTATATTGAATATTTAAATTATCGTGCTGTCATCCTCTAGGCCCTACTCTATCTGAACGTGTCATCCTGTGTTGTGTGTCCTTTTATATGGTCCGAACGCCTCAATACAGGTACTTTAGGTAAACCTGCCTGTATTTGGATTACATCAGGTACTATTCTTTGTGTTGGATCTTCTCTAGGTTTATTGTTTCTAGAAGTGTGTCTTGATTTGTTCAATATATTGAATGTTAGGTCTTGTTGGGTTTTGATTTGTACTTGTTCCTCGATAAGTGATTTATGACTGTTGAATTTATGGATGTTTAAGTTTTCCCAAATGTCCATGCGGTTTCCCTTGTTGACTTGTTTTATGAGTTTTATGTTCTCTGGTGGAGGGAAATAATGTTTGTTTTGTATGGCGTGTATTGCGAGGTTTGATTTATATACTATTGGGTTTATGTGTGCCTTTTTGTGCTCATCGTACCTTTGGATCAGTTTTTTCTTGGTTTGGCCGATATAGAATTTGTTATAGACCGAGCATTGTATACTGTATATCCCGTTTTGGTTTTTGTCTTCTTCTTTTTCATAGCTGTTCATTTTGTGTGTTATTTTCGTGTTTGGCTTGTATGTGATGTTAATGTTCAATGGCTTGACGATGTTTGTTAGTTTTTTGGTTTGGTGTCCTACGTACGTAAATGCTGTCCATCGTGGTGTTGTTTTGTCTGTTGGGGTGGCTTGATCCTTTTTCTGTATAAGAACAAAGAGAGCCGGCACCACATGGCTTTTACCGGTAATTCCATAATTTTAAAACAAATAACGATTTTTAGTAAATTTTAATTCAATATTCTTCTTTGTATCCAGTGAGGTGTCTACCTCTTTTAACTTGTATTGACATGTTTCAATTGTTTAAATGTAACATTCTTTTCGACACGCCCAACCTCACTAACACTTTTCTCTGAAGATGATAATAATAACAAAAAATGAAAATTAAAAATTAAGATTCCAAACCAAGTTTCGTCACGATGTTTCGATTGTTAGTTTCCACAATCGTCTTCGGGTGATAACTGGACTTATGCCTCCGAGATCTGACTATTTATAGGTCATTCGAATGCTTTCACCTATCCCTCTCCCCGCTTCATTGGTTTTAACGGGAGATGACCGTTTGGCGGTAGTTGGTCGTTTTCCGCTTGATTAGAGGTTTCCATATGTTACGTATCTTTACGCTAGCTTGGCTAAATGCGTTGTTGGACAACATATACGCGGCTTCTTTGAATATTCTCCTAAATCAGTGTTCCTCCTTGTGGATGATATCAGCTTGAGCCCACTTGATTTTATGTTGATGAGTCCAAACATGCTCTGTTTATTCCGGATTTGCTGGTTTCTCCTCGCTGTGTGTGTTTCTCGTCCTCAGCAATGCGAACTTTCAATGGCCGGTAAATGCAATTCTTGAAATCGCAGCCCGCATTTGGTGGCCCGGTTGTCGTGAGACTGCGACGGATAGTGTTCCCAGATCTGAAGCAGATCCTAATGTTGGGAAAGAAAGTTTTTGGTTTTCTACTACTCCATCTTGATACAGATAAAAGGATGGAGTAGTAGAAAGCCAAAAACTTTCTTTCCCAAAAATTAATCACTCCTAAAAATATAACCCCTTCAATTCAAATAAGATTCCTCTTGACTGGGATTAAATCAAATAGGTGAATGAATGTCATTACGATGTCATCGATGACATAAGCAGATCAAGCTTATTCGGTGACATTAAAAATCGTAATTCATGAATGAACTGTGTGTATTTTCTATGTTATCCAATTTGGTACTGAAGAGCCTTGGGGCAAGTGTCTTAAGGCGAAACATCGATGTATACCAGTGAGGATGACAGTGTTCTATGTATGTGCAATTTGTTACCATTCATTCAAAGTAGAACTCATGTGAATGACATTTGATTTTTATTCCACAACGAATGTTTGAAATACAAACTGAGTAGAGAAAAGTATCTTCTGCATAATTCAGTGTTCATATAGAAGTATTTGTTCCGAAAGAATTTTTTTTATTTCGTGTAATTCAATGTTTATATGAAAGTAGTTGTTTCAGGAGGACTTTCTTTCAGTTTGTGCCTGAAAGTTACTTCTTTGCATGATCTACACATCCAAGTATAGAGTTACTTATTCTCAAATTGATTACTTCCTTCCTTTCTGTGGAAGATTCCCTTTTTTTGTATCAAGAAGGAGTAGTAGAAAGCCAAAAACTTTCTTTCNGTTATTTCCAACTGAAGGACGAATTCTTTACACAAGATGAGGGACTGCCAATGGGATCGCCACTTTCACCAGTCATAGCCAATATATATATGGAGTGGTTTGAAACTCTGGCCATTGAAGAATCCCCGAGTCTCGTTGAGATACGTAGACATCACTTTCATAATATGGAACCATGGGAATGCCAAACTAGACACTTTTCTGAAGCACATCAACAACGTAAGTCCTTCCATCACTTTCACAATGGAGAAGGAAATCCACTACGAATTGCCATTCTTAGACGTATTGGTGAAGAGGACCAGACATCCAACCACCATCAATCGACTAAGGATTCATCAAGACTCTACTAGACCGTGCTTTCGGGCTCTGTAATATAAAGGAAGGTCTCGAAAAGGAATTAGGCATCATCAAAAATGACTTTCAACGGAATGGTTACTCCAGAGTGATGGTAGAACAGGCTTTAGCTAGAAGACAGCAAGAGCTCCACAAGGAAGAGAAGCTGTCACAACCAGTACTTGCACTTCCTTATATCAGAGGATTATCTGAAAGGGTAAGAAGGATTGAGGTCAAATATAACATCAGGACCTGCCTCAGGCCTGGGATCACTATTCGTAGCAGTCTCACGACAACCAGGCCACCAAATGCGGACTGCGATTCCAATAATTGCATTTACCGGATACCCTGCGAGTGCGGAGAATCCTACATCGGTGAAACTAAGAGGCCATTGAAAGTTCTCATTGAAACACGAGAAAGACACACAGCGGAACCAGCAAATCCAGAATAGCAGATCATGTTTGGACTCATCAACATAACATCAACTGGGCTCAAGCTGAAATCATCCACAAGGAGGAACACTGGTTTAAGAAAAAATTCAAAGAAGCCGCGTATATGTTGTCCAACAAAGGATTTAGCCAAGTTAGCGTAAAGATACGTAACATATGGAAACCTCTAATCAAGCGGAAAACGACCAACTCCCGCCAAACGGTCATCTCCCGCTAAAACCAATGAAGCGTGGTGAGGGAGGAGGGGATAGGTGAAATCACTCGAATGACCTATAAATAGTCAGATCTCGGAGGAATAAGTCCAGTT